AAAGAAGAATGCAATATAGATAATGAAGATAAATTCTGGTCAAGACAAAAAACATTCAGATAGATCTAATTAAAGTTAAAAGTCATAGTAAAGATAAGTAGAATAATAGAGCTGATAGTTTAGCGAAGAAGAGAACAATAAGTAGGAAAATTGTATAGGCTAAAAAAGTCAGTTGTAAAAAGATAGAATACTGCCTAAAGTGGAAAAACAGACAAACTGACATATCAGTCAGACTGCTTTGCAAGTTAGTAACAAATGTAAGAATAAAAGCAGAGTGGAAAGAAACAAGAGCAGTTAAAAGTTTAGAGCCAGAAGTGGAAATCACAATCTATAATTGGACTTATTTGTGGAAAAAGCTAAAGATGATCAAGAGAATACATTGCACAACAAGAAGGAGTAGTGCAAAAAGAAGTGCTTTCATTAAGTGCATAATAAATAAGCTTCCAATCTTGGAAGAACTCAACAGAAGAAGGCCTGATATATATACAACAATAGAATGCCAAGTATACCAAGAAAAAGTAAAAGAAATACAAGCACATTTGGCAGCATGCAAAGGGCAAAAAAATCTCTGAAAGAGAATTCAAAAGGTAACCATTGTAATAGCGTAAAAGAAATTAAAAGAAGAAGAAAAGATCCAAATTCCTTTATATATGTTATATATGGTACTTTTTGGAAAAACAAAAATAGAAGAAGTTAAAATAAGAGAAGCACTAATAAAAGGCCTAATCCCAAAAGAAATGCAAAATAAACTGGCACAGCTCTTAAATTCAAAATCAAGACAGCAATTTGTAAATACAGTAGCAATAACAGCCTGTAATACATTTTACGAACAAGTATAAAGAATATGTTGCAAAAAAATTATCGAATAAGAGAAAAAGATTGGAATAACAGGTAAAACTAAAAGGAAAAAAGATAAAAAGCTAAAGGAACCAAGAAAACAAGAAAAGACAAATCAAGAAAGAATAGAAAGAAAAAAAGAAGAAATAAAAGAAAAGAGAAAGCAAGTTGAGAAGGAAGTAATAAAGACAATGTTGGGGCTTGTCATGGAAGGGAGAAGACCCTTTTATTATGGACTTTAAGTAGTTAGACAAGCAGCTTACTTCTGCTTGAAGTAATGCAGCAGGTTGCACTTAGGTATCAGTAAGATAACTGAATGATGCTAGACTTAGATATTAGAGATATTTATGTAGTTACAAATGTAATTTCAAAAACTTAATAAAATATTAGCATGACTGCTTATATATTAAAAAAAAAAAAAAAACTAATTTAAATTTTGTACCAAAAAGCTTCAAGTAATTCTATAATATTAATTATAGAAAAAACATTATTATTTTAAAAATTAAATATAACTTAATTAGCAAAATTTTGTTAAAGGTCTTAGTAGCATAATAGAAGTTTGTTTTGATTAGTAAATTTTGTGATTTATGAAAATATTGATTTATGTAACTATATAACATTTGACTAATAAAATAGTTCATTATTGCATATATATATACAAATATACACTAAAATTTTTGTATAACTTGAAATTTTTATAATTATTCTATTATAAAATTTATATCTGTTATATCAAAATTCTGCTTAATATTTAATATAATAAGAGTTTATTATTATTAAATTATATTATATTAGTAATACAAATGCATTTTATATTGTTTTAAAATTTTTTATTACTTTATTTAAATTTTATAACTAAGTAAAATAAAAAAATTTTTAATAAAAATGTTTTAGTAATAATGTTAATTTTATTATATGCTTTTAAGAATTCTAAAACATGACAATAAAAGTTATTATATAAGATTATTATGCATAAGATCATTATGCATTTTTATGCATAGATTGTTATTCAAAAATCATTATACAAAGTCATTATGCTAGTATATTCTAAGTTGTTACATATAAAATTGATTTATTAGTATAATTCAAATTTTTATGCATAAAATTAATATATAGGATAGAGTCAATAGAAATAGGACAAATTTATCTAATAGATTTGTCCTATTTCTATTAACTTTACTTCATATTAGTATAATTCAAGTCTACAATAAAATCATTATATTAGTATAATCCAAGTCATTATATATAAAGTTATTATATTAATATGATCCAAGTTAATACATATAAAGTTGTTATATTAGTATAATTTAACAATAAATAATTTGTTTGCAAAGTAATTTAGAAAATAAAAGTTAGAGTATTAGTAGTTATAATTTATATAAAAAGATATAAAAAAATTTTATAAAAGCAGATTTAGCTATCTTTTATACTTACAATATCTTAAAGAAAATAAAATTATTCTTTTAAAACCTATATCTTTAATACATTATTAATTAATTTTTCAACTACAATAATACAATTAAATATTAATTATATCTTTGTATAATTAGCTATTTATTTGTATTAAAAAATATAATAGCTACTAAAAAAAATTATAGTCCTGAGGGTGTGGCGACCTAGTGAAGTGGTCAGGTTGTCAACCCCCCAAATGGTAGGTTGGGTGTTCAAATCCCATCGACAGCGAAAATTTGGATAATCATCTATGTAATATTTGTATTACGGCAACTGTTACTAACGATTGGGTTAGGATATCTGTAATGGTGGTCGCACCAGCATGACTGGCAGGTCATGGGGCATCTGTGTAAGTATAGTATTACACAGAGGAATGCAAATCGACAAATCGGGTGGTGCAAACACTAGATAAGTCCTTGTGACTGTGTAAATCCGTTGAAATTGGGTAACAAGAAGTTCATTTGGGAAGACCCGAGTAGAGAAGTAGCTGGATCTTCGACAGCCCTATTGTAAAGACTAGCCTAGGGAAACAGATACCAAGGTCATAGTACCCGGTCGTAGTAGTCGGACGGGCAAGAACTTCTGGGTTGGGTGGCTCAGAGGTACCACCAACCAGGCCACCAGAACGAACCAAAGGAAAAGAATATTGGGTTGACCCGATATATCGATGGACTGGTCATAGTCTTACATGGGTTATCTGAATTGGAAGTTTGATAAAAAGGCTGGACAAAAGGCAGGAGTATACTAAAATACTGGGGTTATGCTGTAAAGTAGATGCTGAGGTCTAAGTGAACTCTACAAGGGCATAGTGGTTTAATGATTAGCCCTGACCGCAAGTGTTGGTTCTGTCATATCAATATCTAGGTCAGCCGTAAAAATGGATACAGAAGGCTCTGGGAGGTTTACCTCGAAGATAAATTAGTCCTAAGGTTGCAGACGATAATCTGATACATCAGTGATAATCAGTAATGTTAATACAGGTTACAGATTCAGAGTGTTTAAAGTGGAACATCCAAGCAGAGGTGTTAGGTACGGCAATTGATAGGGAACCTTCGGGCAGACTCCTTAATTAGGTAATATAGAAAAGTTATACATATAGCCAATTGTACACTCTCCTGAGTGGTTCATTGAACCACAATACCGACAAGTGATTAATAAAAGTCAAAAGACCAAAAAGGTCACCTTAATACCAAAAAAAAATAATATACGTAATATTTTAATTTTTTTTTTTTTAAAAAAAAAAGAGTAGTTAATTGTTTAGTCAAACTGGTAATTTTTGTTATGGTGCTTCAAGTCACTTCTCATCAAGGTACGTCAAATTCAGCTATATATATTCAAGGTACGTCAAATTTAGCTAGATATAACAAGATATGCCAAATTTGGATTTGACTAAATATAAAATTTTGAAAACAAATCCAGAAGATTCTATTGTCTAAAATGTTACATAGCTTTCGAAGAGCCCTTATACCTAGTAAGAGATATACAAATAGATAAAAAAATGTTAAGTGTATTAACAATTGTAAAGGTTAAACAAAAATATGAATCAAACAACTTATGTGATCGATCTTATAATCGATCGAAGTCATGATGGGAAATTAGCATCGGGGTATAATTGAATGCATGAATATGACGATTAGTTGGGAAACAATTAAAAGTTTAATTAATTAATAACAAATAAATAGTTAAAGTGTAATACAAAATATGCAATTGTTTGAATAGCATAAATAGTAAAATGTAAATAAAGAATCCAACAGTCTTTTCGACTGGAAAATTGAGAAAGTAAAAAATATCATTTAAGTATAAATCTACAAAGAATATCTTGTATGTGTGTGTTCAAAGGTATGTTGTGCTAAGCAAGACCTAAAAGTAAAGTTAGAGTAGTCTAAGGTAGATAGCAGTCACTACGGTGATTGCTTAACTCTTTGATACTAAAATACGGGCAGAAAGAACTAGAAAGGTAGATAATTTTTTAAAGGTATGATAGTACAATATAAAGACAGATAAACTTTATATACTTGCAATAAACAATAAATAAGAAACTGAAAAGTTTATTTGATATATATTTACTTAATATTGCACAGGTCGAATAAATAAATAACAGGTAATCACCAATAACTGTAACATATCACGTAACTAATAGTAAGATATGGTACATAGTGGCAATAAAACCTTTAGTTAGCATCACAATTATTGATCGTAATTTTTAAATTAAACACTGTCAAGTCCTTTATTATATAGGAACTTATGAAGACTTCCTCTGTTTGCATATTGAAATACTATCAAATATTCATTATTAGTTGTATTTTGAGTCATTCTATATACCTCAAGATTACTGTCTATTAATCTAACTTCTGTATAACTTTTAAACTTGTTAAATAAATAAAATTTATTGTATAAATCATCTGACAATAATAACCTTTATAACAATAGACCCAGGAAACCTGAGTCTATAACATACTTATACCAACATATATAATATTCTTAGATTTTATGTTTTATTCCAAATACAATATAATAAAAATGATTTTTTTTTTTTTTTATGTTACTCATACAAATAATAGGTAATTCCTATTCTTTGATACAAACTATTAGCACAACTCTAAATCAATATCATTAGGTATACATCTATGAGAATGATACTTATATACAGTATATTCTGCTATCTGGCCAGTAAGTCCATGTCTATAAGCATCCATATAACGCCATGCTTTTCATGCAAAATGACGTATAGTTGTAAGTAATACTGAATCAAATATTTCAGGTACAGTAACCTGTAATCTAGCCCAAGAATAATCACAATGCTCATGAGCATAACGTTTTGCGGCACCCCAGTATTGTTCAATGAAATTTAACTCACAGTAAAACTTCGGATAAAATATACAAATATGTCCTCGTTCAACAATAAGTTCCTCTAATGCTGATTTTTGCATAGTAAAATCAGGCTGTGCAGACAAAAGGTAACATGCACAACAATTAAGTACACTTGGATCACAATAGTTCTTATCACATTTTAATCTAAGACCACTATTAGGCTATAGCTTATGCTCACGAAGTACTTGTTGAATATCCTTTGGCTGATTACAAAATATATAATTATCATCGTCAAGAGGAAGATCATTGGGAAAAATCATTGGCTGAGTAACTCATTCACCTTGTTCATTAATAAACCAGCCGTCACATAATCTTGACTATTTACTACCAGGAAAAAGATTCATATTTTTAGCACATAATGCATCACTTGCAAGAGCACTATGATTGGTGCTACTATCAAATGCAAAGATACCAATACAGTTTGGGTGTGTTGCTTCAAAAATGAGAATTGCTTTATTGGATACTTGCATAAGCATGTCAGAAGCATTCCACCAGCCATCATCATTTTTTCCAGGTTTAACAATAACACGAGCTTCTTGTGGGAATGTTGATGACAGGTTTAATTCATTTATTTCTGCAGGTGTAATTGTAAGGCAACCACGGGTCTCAGTTAAAAATTCTGAAACCATAAGTGCTTTACCCTTTCCTTTTTTATGTAGTGGCAGCATACCAAGAGGAGCCCATACTGAAGGATAACTATCATTAGCATAGAATGTACACTCATCATGAGTGACAAGAATATAAACTTGTTTTTCTTTATTTATTTCAGGATTAATGACTGTTTCCATATTGTCGTCAACAAATTGTGGCATTAAAGCTTCAAGATCTTTCATTTTTTCAAGAAATACAGCACGGTATTGTACAACATCAGGGCATTCATGGCCATTATAATAAATATCTTGCTAATGCTATTAATATATGAAACCAAAACAACAAAGCCAAATTCGAGCTGTTTCTAATGAAATTGAAGTGCGAGAGCTAGTAACATTAGGTAAGATATTGTTCTGAATATAGTTTTGAAATTTATCAACAGTTAATCTTTCTCCTGTAGTATGAATAAAACGCAAACAAGAATTTTGCACATTCTTATTATCAATAAGAGTTGATATGTATTTTTGTTGTTCTTGCTTAGAGACAGATAAAGTTTCTGTTGCAATTCAATTTTTTGACCACTCACGAATGCAACGTGCCATCCATGGACCATATTGAAAGACTTGTTGTGATATTTCAAGACTTAGTTTTATGCGAGAATGTAACTCTTCATGGTTAAAGATTGCAGTAAGATATTTATGCACAGCCAGAAAGCAAAGATATTCATAAGCATTCATATTTTTCACATCTTTAAGTTTATTCTTTAATTTATTTATTTGCTCTGAAATGGAACTGTTATTTTCTATATCTGAATCACTTATGTCTGAATCTGACATCTCATATTTAACTTCTAATTTTTTTACTGATTTAAAAAAATTGTTCAAGCTCATTGATCCTTGTGCTGCCTCCCATAATCCTTTATTTTTGCATTGCTAAGTACGTTTTGAACTTTCAGAATAATATGGTAACTGACCACCAGATGCCTTATTATCTCATTGAAGGTTATAAAAAGAATTATTTTCATAAATTAACTGCTCAGCTTCTTCATCATCAAGTTTCATCTCTTCATTATTAAAGTATTCCTCATTATTGTTCTCGGATTCATAAACCAAAAGTTCTGGATCACTATATTCTAGATCACTATATTCTGAATCACTACTTTCTGTACCTGCAGGTTTTGAAAATCTTCCACTACTATCTCTACTTTGTGTAAGTATATAATTCTTTGCAGCATTTTTATGTTTTGTCTTTTGCATTGTCAAAATTTATAAATATGATATAAAATAAAATGGTATTATGAAGTCAAGTAGTTTAGAATATAATTTCAGTGAAAAGTATCTCTTTATATAAGTTTTTGATATATGTTATCATTAATAAAGATATATTCAAATTTTATTTACACTTCTTTTTGTTTAAAAATCGTATTAAGTATATTTATAATTTGGATCAATTTTTCAAGAAAGTTTTAGTGTTAGTATTATAATAATTAAATAGAGTAGAGAAAACTTATAATTAATATTTTACCTTATCAGATTTAACTAAACAACTGAAACAAGCCATTATCACAGCTGAATTAACTTATCATTATGAAGTAAACTCAATCGGGTTTGTGTATTAGTGTTTAAAACACTGTCTCAAAAAGTTTTTGTAATTTGCGATTTTAAAGTTATTGTAATTGTTCTAATACATTAAATTAGTCTTGTTAGATTAGCTTCACATAAAAATTTTTTTACAATGAACACTTAATATGTATATAATTGTCATGATAAACAGGTTTAGTTAAGCTAGAACCTTATATTATTATATGGATAAGTATTACTTTTAAAGTCTTGTTTTACTGATCTTTTGAATGTGTCAAATTACTAATTGATTAATTTAAACTTTTTTTTTCTTGCTTAGAGGAGTCGAGTTCAATTGTTGTTATTGGCATGATACAGTTCAAGTATAAGAGAGCTTTACTTTATGCCCAGATTCTTTCTTGTCATACAGCTGATATTCCATATACAATCCAACCTGGTTTTGGTGCAATTTCGAGTTTTTCATATCTACACAGCATTAGTTAAGATTTTTCTTCATCTTTTATTCAATTTTATTACTATCCTCTCCACCTTAACACCTTCTTTCTTACTTTCTCATTACATCTCGAACCATAACCTACTACTTTTACAATGAGGTTTGTATTTTGTTAACTTATTCACTTTATTTATTAATTTATTCTTGAGTAAATCTTATACGTATGTTTAC